GGAAGGAAGATGGGGGGGGGGGGATGTGCCCACCAGTTTGTGAGGATGGCAGCCAACATGCAGAGCCACATGTGAAGTGGTCAAGACCTAAACTGTGCCTGCTGCGGGATGGCTGTGGTTACCAAAATCACTCACACTGTGGGGTGTATTCTGTTAGGGTTTAAAATCAGATCACATTTCTCTATGGCATCCAGATGTTTGACATGACAACAACCCACGTGGCATTTAGCTACATGTCTTGCAGCAGCAACCGTGCTTTTATGTTTATTGTTGGGACGCAACTTCCTGGTTATATTAAAATTACACTTGACCTCTGTGTGTTGATAGAATGATGTGTGCGTCAGGGTCAATCTCACCTTGCTGGGCCAGTAAGGTTTGGGTGTCAATAAAGGCACCGGTTTGGGCGACAGGGCTCTGGTGGATGGTGGATCAGATGAGCAAGAGCGAATCTGAGGCCTCTGATGTGAGGATGAGTCTTTGGGAAACTCCTCGATTTGAGCCTCTAGCGTAGACGTGAACTTTGGAGCAGGGGCGGACATCTGGCGTAAATATTTCATGGGCCCATTGGGATCCATGTCAAAAGGGTCAGGAGTTGTTGGAGAGGAGGAGAGGGAGAGAGGGAAGGAGGGGTCAGCAGATATGCTGCGGTCCAAGAGCTTAGGCAGCTGTAGGCGCTCCAGGATGGCTTCACTGATGGAGAAACGCTGGGCGTAACGCTGGAGGATGGCTGCCGCCTCCTCAGGGGTTCTGGCTTTTCTGTACGCCTGCCGCAGCTCCTCCTCACGAAGCTCCCTGTTGGAAAGAAAAAAAATAAAGCATAACAGCTGTGTGAATGTGAAGCAACTGGTACAAGAGAGTTTGATTTGGATTCAATGCCAACTGCTTCTTTCTGGTGAAGACTGGATATGACTCAAACGCTACACTTTGCTTAGTATTTAGCATTTTTAATCACTAAGTTGTGCTGCAAAATACGATAATCTTTATGTTTTCATGAAATAACCAGAAGATAAATCATGGCGGTCAACATAAGCATCATCAGCTATTGCTTTTGTTTGATATGGGCGAACAAAGAAATGTGTAAGACTTTCAGCAGAAACACTAGAAACGCCAAATTCATCACCAATGAATCAACATCAAAACTAATATATTGGTGAAGTGAGAAGTGCACTGCCACTACTTTATAACACCAGCTATCAACAAGATGTCAAAGTCAACCACTTAATATTTCCTTTTTAACTGCAATAAAAAGGGATAAGGAACTCAAACATCTGAACTACTGTTGATTTCAGCCACGATAACAACACTGACGTCTTATCCACCACACCAAACATTCTACTTCTACTACACTCTGACTTTCTCTGAGGGAGACCTACTTAAGTGAACTCCAGAGGGAGTCGCTGCCACCTTTGCACCTGCTAAAAGGAACCAAGATGAACATATTCTCTGATCTGAGAAAGACCTACTTCTCCATTACTATCCTGTTATTGTGTATTTCACATACTTGTCCTCTACTATCTCTCTGTAGGTCTTAACACTTCTCCTCCGCTGGGACATAGAGGTGCCTGACATCAACTGCTCCATCATCTTCCTCTCCTCCTCCTTCTTGATCAGGTCCTGGGAAATACTCCTCCTCCGACTTTTCCATCGGGCCAGGTCCTAACACACACAAAGAGATTGCAAGTGTGTCAGTTTCCAAATGAAACAAAGTAAAATGGCTTGGTACCTAAAGCACTGTTGTAATCCCAGCTGACTGATTTAAGTTGTTAAACTGGAGTCTGTGCTTCAGCCTGCAGCCACTAAAATCACAGCACACAATGCAGACTAGAAATACAAACTGAGGAGATGAGGAGCAATTCTAATGGGATTTAAAAAGTTATGTCAAAGATATTAAAGAAAAAAAAAATCCTAACAGACTAAGAGAAATAAGAGTGGAGTCGTTGAGCTGGACAAATATGAGGCACTTACGTCCTGCCAGTGATCGTCGTCCTCCTTCATCCTGTAGTACTGGTTGTGCATCAGTTCATGACGCACCTGACTGTGTGGCTGCAAGATGGTCTCCTCCTCACCACGCATGTCACTCATGCTCATACTTCTGCGCAGGAGAAAGACACAGACAAACCATAAGGGTAAAAATGTGTTGACATGCAAGTTCCAGAGTAGAACACTGTTTGTTTTATTCCTATAATGAGCTAGTGAAGTTTTCTCCAGTAGATTGTATTGTAAGTATTGAATGTTTGCATACTGGCGTCCTTCATAGTCATGTGAAACACAGCAAAAACACTGGGACCCTAAACTATTCTAGGATTCAGCAGTGGCTAAAAGGTTAGCCAGAAGGCACAAGCATACAGTCATTTAAAAAAATAATTTATATCAATCAGTCATGATAAGGAAAACCACTGGCTCTTTACAAATACTAAAATAAAATGTCTGGATGAGCCTTCATCTTCTGCTCACCCAGAGGCATAACCAAGATACCAGCTCCAATAAAACACAACATTTAGGAATCCCACGCTTTTGCCTCTCCAGCAACATCAAACTAGCTGGAAACAGATGTGTTACATGAAACATGCAGCTGGTAGCAGCACTGAGGTGACGCCGGAACAGCGCAGTTTAGTAAGTCCTCTCCACAGGCATTACTGCAGGCACTCCCACTAAGGCTGAGAGGAACGGATGACAGCCAGCCAAGCATGGCCACTACATTTAAGAAAAACATATTTTTTATATTTCAGATAAAGTGTAAGGAATAGGATACTGACAATGACACAATGGCAAAAATGTCCACTTTGACAAGTCATTTAACTTATGACCGTTTTAATTTAGGTGATACAAGTAGAAAAAATCTAATTACTTTTTCTATTCATTTCACTCTGCGGTGTCATATGAAGCTTAAATATAGGCCACTAATTAATACATCGCAGTAGATAATTCCAGTATCACATGGCATGCGCCACTTTAAAGACTTTCATACAAAACACCTCATTCTTGTAACTTGTGCTAACATTACACGATAGTCAACACTGATTAAGAAGTGCTACAAAACACTGGTACAATGAGAGCTCCAAACACTATGTGATATTCAGTGGCTTCTAGAAACCTTTGGCAGAAAATCAAACACTCAGTGAATGATTAAATTACTTAATGTGCAAGGTGTTTTTGTAGCGCAGAACAGCATGAGGTCAGGCGGCTGCACCTGAGTGGTCAAAAGGTCAACTTATTGTGAATCATCAGACACACTAAGATATAGAGAGAGCACAGTCACATGTGAATACAAATACCTCATCCACCTACCAATATTAAATGAAATATTATTCCACAGTGGTAGGATATCTGATTTTAAGCACAACTGACTTAAAAAAAATGTTGCAGCTAATGATTGAAACAAGCGGCACACATGTATTGGTCAGTTCCCAGTTTTAAAGATAAACCACTCATAAGCACAAGGTGGCAGTGCTCTCCAAAGCCAGCCACAGCCAGAACAGAACGGAAGACAAGCTTAATGCAGTACTACAAATCAAAATAATACGAGTGTACAAAAAGATGCACATGGAAATGATTGTAAAATGCAGCTGGCACTAAAAAAAAAAATAACATGCATCTTTTATTAGAGAACACAGGAGCAACATCAAGGATGTGCTTCTCTTTCTGTCTGTGACCACCACTTGTAGTTTTGGTCTTAACCACAAGGGTCTTCACAGAGTTTTTCAATGGAGCTGCCTCTGTGATGTTGGAGGGGTGTGAGAGAAAGTGTGGCCTGTGGTTGCTTGCCACAAGACAATGAGGACACTGAATTAAAGGATAACTCTGCAAACTATTAAAAGCACATCAGTGAGCCACACCGCTGCACTGGGTGACATGTTTCTGTCTCCTAAAGTATCTGGGGTATGTTTCATTAAAAAAAAAAAAAGGGAAGCTAAAAATCATTTTAACAGTATCTGGAGTAAGAGTCAGCTGCTCATTCACATGGTCTCTGCTTTGTTTGCACTACTCTGCTATCTTCTTGTGCAACACAACAACGCCTGTGTGTTTTAAATTGTTTTTGGACAAGAATTGAGGTCTGTGGCACAGATGAATTAAACCAATAAACAGAAAATCACCAGTGTTATCCTTTAAGAGAAGCCTCAATAAGTCACACACAGGTAGATCGTTTTCTGAGATGTCTGTTTGCCATGTAGCATGTTACAATAAGTGTCTCTTTGACACATAATATTTTGGTTCAAAATGGATCAAATTCACCTCAGCATCCACTGGAGTTATTCTCGAATAGTGTCTCCATAAGAGATCAAAAACTCCACATGCATAGTTAGTCAAAGAACACATCCTCCAACATTAAGTTTCCTTAATATAAGAAAAAAGCAAGGAAATGAGCAAAAAATCCACATTTTTCAGTGTCCATGCAGTCTGTGTACAGTAGCAACAGCTTTTTAGCAAAAACTTTCTATTTACATTCATGTTAAAAATCTCATGCTGAGTCATACAAAAAGGAGCATTGCTGTCACAGGGTAAGGTTACATGCTGAGAGACAGTATTCATAAGCAAAAGGTGAATATCAGATTCCTTTAAACACTGAATTAGTTCAACGCAGTAAGTTTTCTTAAGATGTCATGTAGCTGCAGGACGGGGCTCACGTTGCTGGAAGACCGCTGTCCAACCAAGATGTGCCTCTTTGAGTGTCATCGCTTTCACTCGGTGCCCTTGCCTTCAGTCGGCCTGAGTAATGCATTTCTCTTGAAGTGGTTGCCATGGCAGCAGGCACAGGAAGGAAGTCTGAGGGGCTGGAGGTGGTGATGTGTTTGGTAGAGGTCACCGTGTGACAGGCCTGCTTCTTTTCGTGCGCTGCACCTGTGACTGACAGGTTCCCAGTGACTGCCTTCTTCACTCCCGCTTCCTCAGGGTCTGTTACAGGTGGATGTTTCCCGGTCGGTTCGACGGGGTTTGTCGCAGCCACCGAGCCACCTGCTGTAGCGTTTGCTGCTAGAGTTGTTGAATGGTGGAAGAGTTCCTCTGAGCATGAGCGAGCTGGAGTACTGCAGAGAGCAAAGCAAACTAAAACATACTGCTGCCTGGTTATCACCCAATATCATCAGGCAGCATTCCCCAGGAGGGACCTAAACGGAGGTTTTAGAAGACATAAATCTAAGAAAATAGCAGACCATGGTCAGAAATCTCTTCAGACATATTGGAGTCACAGAGGCAGAGCAAAATTCATGCAACGCTCTGTCATCCTGTGATGAACAGCCACTTTCTGGGGGGGTTATAATTGGACTGTAAATTCCCAGAATACATAGCAGGGAGGGAGAGACTGGCCAGCTGCTGGCAGTGAAAAGGCCAAGCTTCAGTCCCAGCCTGGTCATGGTCAGGGAAGGAAGAAGGCCTCATTTCCTTTCATCCAGAAAGGAGGTCACATGTTCATGTTCAGCGCGAGTGTGTTTGTGTGTGGACACACACAGTACATTCCTGTGTGTTTTGTGCATGGGCTTGTTTTTGAAGGTGTGTGCAGTTCTGTCTCTAGACTTTTCAGTTTTGAGAGAAAAGTCAAGTGCAACATTACTGGAAACTGAAAGGCACTAGATGGTGTTTTCTTGGTCCAGGCATGTTTAACTTCGTGATTTACATTTTATCAATTCAAAATACACCATCACAGCTATTTTTCTTTTACTCAGCCAAATCTTTTCGACTAATGAAAAATATTTACAAACGAATGTTAGATGTCACTGTGCCATTTCTGCTCAAGCTAAGAAACACAGTTAACAGCAAACACGCATGGCTGGACGCCAGCTTAACTCTTCCATCCGAACAAACTGATATAACAAACATGTCAACAATGTTTTGTTCAAAGAAGATGGCAAAACATCTTCCCGAGATAACTCATCAACTCCTTGCAGCCCTAAACTGCACAAATTCCAACCCTAGTTTTCTTCTGGAAAACTGCAAACTGTTACGAACTACACATACTTGTATCAAAGCCTCTCACAAGAACTCCTCCTTTTTACTTGGCATGCAGCTATGCCAAGTTCATTTCTATTGAGGACTGTTTTTACTTGCTTGAAATGATGACAACCCAACCAATGCTATTAACAGCTGCACCGGAGATATATGGAAACTATGTGTGTGACAGTAGTAACTATTCAACAGGACTGTGAATGAAATGTGTGCAATAATAAGAAATAACACTGGATAAGGCTGGATTGTGAAATAACAGCAGAGACCTAAACTGATATTTTTTTGAGAGTGAAACAGTGCAACCACACATCACCCTGGGCATCTGAAGTGAAAGGTATACAAACAGCAGTGTCTCATGACAGGCTCATGAGCAACACCCCACTACCTGACACCAGGTTGTGGCCCTGGATTGACCTGCAGGGCACAGACCCTGTACAACAACAACAACCTGTTCCTCTTGCTAACTCACTACTACACTGCTCTGGATAACAATGGCAGTGAAAACAATGATCAGGTAACAGTAATAAAGTATCTGTATTTTTAAATTCCAAACATTTACTTATCCAAACTGTTTGCCTACATTTCCCACAATCCAACCTGACCATCAGCATTTTGGTTGGAGATTCAGGTGTGTTGTGCTGGTAGCAGCAAATATAACTCTGAGCTTCTAACCTCAAGTAGAACTGAAGAGTGACATCACAAGTTCTCTGACACTCACCACACAGATCCCTCTGGAGCCACAAAACGAGCTATACAACCTTTTTCTACGTACAGTATTACTCATGTAAACAATACTGAAAATGTTTCATGAGAAAAGTAAAAGGCAAAAATTTATTCTCAGAGATGATCTATGTTCTGTGAGACATGGTTGATTAAAGAGGCACTATGAATTAGAAACTCTGAGAATTGGGCCGATGATTTCAGATTAGAGAAAGACATGAATTAAGATGAAGACCTTTGCTCATAGGAGACCATCAGGTGGGCTACGGTCTCCCTGGGGGGCTCTGCACTGGGCTGCGGGAGGCTAAGAAGCTCACTGCTCCTCCTCACACCTACTGCATGGATCTCAGTGCAAGCTGTGGATGCAATCTGCTTCCCTTGCTCTTCGTCCTTTTTACTCTGATTCTCCTTCTGAATCTGTATCTGGGGTTCAAGGGGCAGGCTGGAGGACGGACTGGGGGGGCTCCTGAGGTGGGGCGTCTATGTAAGGAACCGCTTTTGGACTGTTATGTCACCCACTCACACACAATGCACAGGAACAGAAGGCGGAATCACGGTGGAGCAAAATTAGCAACAATGACATGATGGAACATCAGACGTGGGGCACACACACAAATGTGGTGGAATAAATTCACACAAAAGAGTTAAAAGAAGGTAAGTGGGGAAATACCATGACACACAACGACAAGGTGTTAAGGAATGACATGG